TAATAATTAAACTTTTAATATATATATATATCTATACATATATTTTTACAGTAAGACAGTACTAAAAGCAATGGTGGTATACAAAGAGTTATAGACCAAAAATATTACCTATTACTTTAATAAACAAACTTTTAATGGTAAAATTTTTTACAGTAAGACTGTACTCAAAGCAAAGGTGTTATACAATAAATAAAAGGCCAAAAAAGCAATGCTGTTGCACATTCTCAGTGAATAAGACTATTTATTGTTTCATTATTCAGAAAATATATAATATTAGCATAAATCATTCAGACTGTAATTTAACTCAAATAAAAAAAGCGTCAAACAAACTGTAACACATATTTGAGGCATGTTTTGTTGCTGCTAAAAATGATATATTAAAGAATTCTACAGCTTTGTTATATTCCTGCGGAACCTGTACATTTGGTAAATAGTACTATATTTCAACAGTTTCCCTGGATCCAAAAGTTAATAGAGCAAGAAATATATCCAATATTCAGGTCAACATGGGTTACACTGCAGGCACTTACCAGACGACAGCCTTCAAGAGAACTGACTAGTTGTGCATTTTGACAGGAGAGAATGGAACCCGCCAAGTTGAGCATGACACACACAGCAGACAGCAGCATAAAAAAGGTTATCTGGAAATAAATCATAAATGGCAAAATGAACGTAAATGACATTATTTCATCTAACATTACCACTATAATAAAACCAGGTCTGTAACTTCAAAATGGCACAGATATTAAATAATAATTCACAATAAGCATGTAACGTGCAAATGTGTATAAAGGCATGTGCGTGTGTTTGTATGTGTGTGTTTGTATGTATTTGTATGTATGTGTGTCCAATAAAAATATTTTGTCCTTCCTTTACACCTAAAGGAAAAATTAAAATAATAAATAAAAACTTGTAAGGTATCTTTAAGTTAAGTCATATGCAGATAAAAGCTCACATATTTGATCTACATAAAAATAAAATAGTAAATAAAATAAAACAATATATTAATTAATTGTATTTACTCAATGACACTCGCAGAGTATATGCAAGTGTAATTTTACACAAGAGCAGCTGCATTTTGGCAGCTGCTCCTGCTGTTTAATACAAAGCAATATCTAGATATCACTTTGACATCTGGTAATTGCTGGTATTTGCTGGTAATAGTGGCAGGATGAGAGGACCTGAACATTAGATGTCCTACAAAATTGGTTAAACAATTGGAAGATTGACAAAAATGATTGTGCTTGTATCCACCCATTATTCTGACTGCCATCATAATAACCAACCCTAGGAACTATTTTTGTGAGAGGTGTCTTCAGAGGATGGTTTTATTACACATGTAGATGTAGATGTAAAGCTTTGGTAGTGCTTCTGAAATTCTACTGGGGGTTATGTCATAGGGTCAATTAAAACCATATAGCTTCTACTGTATACATATACATATATATAAATTCAAAAACTTTATTCATGTACAGCATTTTAAAAACATTCTATCATTTTTGTAAAAAAATAATTTTACAATATTTTGCTGCACATTGGTACATTTTTGCAAAGTTTGGTTGCATTGTTATGCGTTTTGCTGCATTTTTAACTTAAAAAAATTAGCAAAACACAAAAACAAAGCACACTAATATATGCTAAAACACAAGGAAAAATAAGGTAAAACACATGTTAAAGAGGCACACTAACACACAGTTTTTTATATTACATTATGAAACCAGATTTACTGTAGATTAATATGTTTTATTTTAGAATTTCTGTTATAGTCATAGTAACCAGTCAACCAAACTTGTCATATTAGCCCGCATTCACACCTGCGCCTTCCATGTTTGCCGCACGTTCATGGAAATGCGGCAAACCGCGCAATGCACTTGTGTTGCTATTAATTTATAAAGGCACCCAAAATGTGGCCAGGAAGACGCATGTTTTTGCTCTCTGTTTGCACACTGAAAATGCACACAAACACGGAAGCAAAAAAAACGTGGAAATATGCTACATTGTTATATATTACAAAAAAAGGCTAAAAGGGATATA